GAAGCAAAGACAACAAAAATAGGAGAGAACGAAGCAGAGGAAGAAGCCGCTCTTGCCACCAACCCCCATCCCTTCGCGGACCCTGCCCTTTCATTGCTTCGGTACGCGACTACACTGGGGTTGCCGCTCTCTGCCAATTATTACTATTATTTTTTCTTTCACACTTTTTTCTTTTTGCTTCTCGCCTAACGTGCGTCGTGAAGAGGAAGAAGTGAGGTGGGGGAACGATGAGCGAGTTTGAGTTACTTGGCATCCACCAGTGGCTGTCAAAGCAGTGCGCCTACATGGCGCTGCACCACCCCACGCCCATCCAGAAACTTTGCATTCCCGCGATTCTCGCCGGCAACTGCGTGGTGGGAGGCGCGGCTACTGGAAGCGGTAAGACGGCGGCCTTTGCCCTCCCTCTGCTACAAATTCTTGCTGAGGACCTCTACGGGGTGTTCGCGCTTGTGTTGACGCCGTCCCGCGAGCTTGCTTACCAAATCTTGGACCAGTTTGTGGCACTCGGTGCCCCTTTGCACATACGCCCCGCCATCATCATCGGCGGCCTGCCGCACGAGCAGCAGCTGGACGCGTTAAAAGCCCGCCCACATGTCGTTGTTGCCACCCCGGGTCGTCTCAAGTTTATGTTAGAAAAATTCCCAGAGGCCCGTAAAGCCTTTTCTCACCTGCGTTTCCTTGTGCTTGACGAGGCGGACCGACTGACAAGCGGCGACATTGAGACGGATGTGGCGGAGGTTGCTCGTCTGCTTCCTCCCGCGCGTCCCGAACGGCGTGTACTGCTGTTTACCGCCACACTGGAACAGCGCCTCACGCGGGTAGAGGAGGGTGGGTGGCTGGAGCGTCTCGGAATGGCGCATGGCGCCCAGCAGCTCCAAGTCTTCGCCACCAACACTCTGACAAACGTCGCGGCTGGCCACGGGGCAACAGCTGAGTCGTACGCCGTCGCCGATTCGCTGCAGCAGCGATACCTCTTTATCCCCAACATGGTGAAACTAGCCTACCTTGTTGCCTCCCTTCGAGCGGCGGGGACGGAGCAATCCACCATCGTCTTCACCAACTCCTGCATGCGCTGTGAAGTAGTTCGACTGACGCTACAGCTGTTGGGATTCCCTGTCTGCAGTCTTAACTCGATCATCTCACAGAAACACCGACTCGATAATTTGGCCACCTTCAAGCTTGGAATTGCCCGTATTTTGGTGGCAACCGATATCGCGAGTCGCGGGCTAGACATCCCCGCCGTGGGCCTGGTGCTGCACTACGACCTGCCCAAGCAGGCGCCCACTTACTTGCACCGTGTGGGTCGCACAGCGCGTGCAGGTCGCGAGGGCCTTTCCGTCGCCTTCGTGACGGAGTACGACGTGGATTTGGTGCGGCGTCTCGAGAAGAAAATTGTGCACACCATGTCGCTCTGGAAGGCCAAGGGTGTCAGTGAGAAGGAAGTGCTGAAGGTTCTCGATGAAGTCTCTGCGGCGAAGGTGCAGGCGAAGCTACAGGTGGAGGATCAGTTTGGGCGGCGAGTGAGCACGCTGAAGGCCCACGCGGCAGAAAAGCGAGCCCGCCTCGGGGAGCACGAGCAGGAGCAGGGCTCCATCAAGGCAAAGCCCGGGAAACCGGCCCCGTTGCGCTCCACACCGGACGCAGTCCCCGTCAAGGGGCGCCCAAAAACAAAGCGAGAAAAGCCCTCAAAGAGGCGGCGGAGCGACGACGTGTAAAAGTTGGCAGTGTCAGCCACCACCGAATAAAACCAAAACACGGGTTGAAGAGAACTTTGGAATCGTGTGATTACCGCGGCTTATTCTTATTTTTATAAGCAAAAAAAAAGGAAGAAAGGAAAGAAGACCTGCCCTCACGCTTCTCACTCTCGTCGTTCTTCCTTTCTGTTATACGGTATTTCCTTTCGCCTTTCGCGTGGCAGCGAGTGGGACATGCCCCGATGACAACGGTGACAAAGGTGTTGTTGTGTGTGTCTCTTGCTTCTCTGTGCCAAAACCATTTCCTTTTTTGTCCCTGGCGTCGTTCCATTGTGCAAGTGGTGGGGGCTTGCAAAGTAAACCGAGTTCTGGCAGCATGCGGAGCGCAAGGAATCTCCGCGCAGAGGCGCAGGTGACCACCGACCGAAGTCTGCCGTCCTTCGACAACCACTACAGCAATGGCGTCCTCATGGAAAACTGGCAGGAGGGACGCATTTACGACGCCTGTGGTCGCAAGTTCACGCTGGCGATGGACCGCCCTGTAGGGGTCTCGCACTCAATGTACACGACCGACTACACCAACCCAGGCAGAACCTCGCCGCAGCCCATGATGCGACGCAGGGGGCTCGGGAAAGAGCTCATGTTCGGCGAGGGCAAACCCGCCACCTTCGACGGGGTCCCCACAAGCACCACCTACGGCGAAACGCAACGGCACCTAATCCACAGCAAAAACGGCAAACCACGGCGTTCTCCGCGCCAAATGGATGCTACATTTGGGGAGAGTGGCTGGCGCACCTTCAGCGAGAGCTCAACAGTGGCAAGCAACTGCCCCACAGCAGACGAAGACAATTTCGGAAGGTTCAGCAGCACCAAGGCAGTTATGGACCTACCGGTGGAATGCTACCACTTCCAACGACAGATGGCCTGCCATGAAATGTCGCAATGAATCCATGACAATGTAACTGAGCTAAACTTTTTACTCACACCCCATGTGTGTACCTCACTTCGGACCCCATTTACACCACCCACTCTCCCACACACAAACACACAAAAAAAAACCTGTCCCTACTCTGAATGACAGGAAAAAAAACTAATTTTAGAAAGATACACTATACCATGCATCATTTTCCCACCACGCTTTTTTCCAACAGAACATTGCATAACCTCTCGTCAAACCACAATAAAAAAACAATGAACGAGGCTTCCAGAAACGGCACGATCAACCTTCACACCGAGTACCAAGAACAGTTCCAGTTCCGGCATCTACCAAGAGAGCTGTCACCACCACCAAGAAATCCTTATACAATGACGCCCACAAAACAATACTACACGAAGGCAGCAAAGGACGCCTACAAGCCGGTCGACCCCTCGGCGTACAAGCGCGAGAGGCCGCTGGAGGAGGAGGAAGAGGTGGGCCCGCGCCACGTTGACCCCGACCACTTCCGCTCCACGACGCAAGACGCCTACAAGCCGGTCGACCCCTCGGCGTACAGGCGCGAGAGGCCGCAGGAGGAGGAGGAAGAGGTGGGCCCGCGCCACGTTGACCCCGACCACTTCCGCTCCACGACGCAA